ATATATATATATATATATATATATATATGCTATACTTTTTGGATAAGTAGAAAATCTATTTTTAGCTGACACATTTCATCCTCTGAGGGAAATGTGTTAACTAAGAATAATTTTTCCTTATCTTTTTATCCATTCTGTTCTTTCACAGATACACTTTATCTGAAAATAATTTACATATAGATAGAGAGAAGAAATTAAATTGAAAGTTATTGACATAAATAATGTGAATATTGGTAAGATTGCTGCTTTTCTACACTCAAGCTGAAGAGATATGTACATGAACTGATTCTATATAAGTAAAACAATCATAAATTTTGCTAAGCTCTCTTTTTAAGTGAGTCACTCCAAATACTATTTTAAATAGTGTTATTCATGATAAAAAACATTCTCTGTTATGACAAAAGTAGACTTAAATAGAGAAAAGAAAATTTTAATTGCAATCAAACCTTCCATTTTTACTTGGTTATTAGACAATAAGAAAAAGAAATACCACCATTTTTTATGAATTCCTTTACTATTGTCAGAGTTAACTCCTCCTTTAGTACATTAACCCTTTCACCAGGGGTCGCTCTTCACTGCTATAAATAGCCGCGGACTCTTCGCCTCTATCTCTTTTTTTCCTTCAGGCCTGTGCTCCGACACCTTGAGGTAAATCTCTCCTTTTCATCAGGCTTTCAGCTTACAACCTCGAAATGTAGGCGCTAACAAGGGATAGCGTGGAAACACGCTAAGCACAATACACAGACACACACATACAGAATATTCACACACACTTCGTCCTTTGTACCGTTTCCATGTATTGTAACTTGTTATTAATATATATTTGTATATACATATATTATCGGTCTTGTGTTTTGTTTGCTTTCTTTGCCTTCTTCTTTGGACTTAATCAAAGTCCAACCTTTTTATGTAGTTGGGCCCAGCGAGCAGGAGTATTTGAACCTTACATGCGTTTCTTCTACGTCTGACTTCTATCAACAACATAACAGCCACGGCCCTCTACACTATTAGAATAATTTATTCTGGTTTTCTGTAATCTGCCATTATACAATAATTTATTTTTTCAAATTGTAACACTAATCTATCATATTTCAGTATTCTCTCTCAGTAACCCTTGGTGCCATAGTGGTATTATTGCCTTGCATGGGGTGAAATCATTTTAAAAAAAAATCAGATCTAACTCACTACAAATTTTTCTATTTTTTTCACCCCCCAAGGCAATAATATCACTTGAACACAGGGTTTACAAAGAATGAAAGAGAATGAGAAGACTTTAGTGAGGAAAGGACAATAAAGGAAGAGGGTTCAGGAAAACAGAAGATGGCGATTGGCATTGCATTTAAATTTCTGAAGTTTGTAGGTGGCACAGAAGCAAGAAATCAGAAGCAAGTTTCACAGGTGAGAAGTGCGAGAAAAGAAAATGATAGCATAGAAATGGCAGCTGTATCTGGCTGGTCCGACAGTAAAATCTCAAGCAATCTAGAAGCACACTAAAATTCATGTAGTCGAGGCACTAGTGAAAAAATCTCATCAGAAGAGTTGCCGCCATGAAAATATTTGTAGAAAAAGACAACCATGTTTTGCCTTTACACATCATAAAACCTTCTTACCAATAGATGTACACTAATATTATAACTTTTTTGCAACTCTATGTTCCTGTGAACTTTTGTTCAAAAATAATGAAAAAGGCATTAATTTGTTTTAGTTCTTGAAAAAGATCACCCCAAACTATTTTACCATATACACAATCAGGGTAAAAAAAAAATCAAAATATTTCAGAAGCTTTATTTTTCAATTTGCTATAGTTTATAGCTATAGCATAACATACAATTTTACTAATCACTAGTTCTAGAAGGTTCCAGAAAGTTATAGTACTACTATACTTGTGTATGATTTTAGAAATTTTGTGTTGGGGATAACATTAAAAAACTGAATTAAATCCTTCTTCATAAAATTTAGGCACACATATTATCTCTGCAAAAATATTTTGGCTGTTGTAAAAACTATCATTTTGGGTACTGTCTTACAGCCTAAGTCAATTTTGCATCAAAATATATATCTCTTCTGGGTAGGAAAGAAAAAGACATATTTAATTTGTTCAGATTAAAGTAATAAAGGGAGGTAATTCCTGTTGATAATGTTGAGTTACCGCCAATAGAGTTCGCTTTTATAACAAAAGTTTCCTTTATGATGGACCATTCGCTTTGTAATTTTCTTGAGTGCTAAAATCAGTTACCGATAGCATTTTATTGATGAAAGATCGATATTTCATGAAATGATAAAATCGTAATTAATGATCAGTCATGCCATGAAGCCACGCGATTGTTATCGAAGACATTATTTCCATAAAATTTCTGTGAAAATGGACGGTTCCCTGTATTGCTTTAAGTACTTGACACCTCCTGCTCTTCTACCTTTACAAGAGCCAGATCAGGCCGAAAAAGGAGTACTGCTGCCAAATCTTTACTTTCCAGATTTGATAGAGTCTCAAAACTTATACGCAGCCTTGTGGGTGATGAGTTTTCATCTTACAACCCCCTTCTCACAGACGAAACGTTGCAAGCCTCTCACTATTTTCATGGAAAGTGTTCAGATGATCTTCATGGCTAAGACCTAACATCACATGCAAATTGTAGCGAACCACCCTCATTTGTATTCCATCTTTGAAATGTAAGTTCCACCCAAGCAGCTTCTTTTTCCAAACTGCTGCTTTGTGAAACCGTCTCCTATGTTTCTCCAATGACTACAATCTTAAACTGTTCAAGTCTAGGGTCAATCATTATCTTCCCCATATGCCTGAAACAAGTTGGGAAACAGATATCTGTCCACAACATTAAGTACAGTCTCCAAATCCTCTAAAACAAGTTGTAAACCAGATAAAATTAAACTCTAGACAATTTCATCAAAAATGTAGACCAGGGGTCGGCAGCTCATTCGACCCTGTGGGACTGATCGTGTTATAATGACCAGTTGCGGGCTGGACGAAGGCCATTAATGAAAAATTAAGGAAAATTACATATGCAGACCCCTGTCAACCAAAATATTTAAAACTATAATGAAAATAAACATTGAGAAATCAGAAAAACAAAAGAAAATCTAAAATTAAAAAACACATAGCAAAAATTACTTTTCCTCAAGGAACGTCAAAATACTTCAAAGTGAAAACAATCAACCAAAGTGAAATGGATGAAATTATGACGTGTAGCTTTGAAACTGTTATTGAAAATTGTTCCACAAATGAACCACACACACACACACATCAAACAAAAACGAAGCACATATACCCATACATATGAGTACAAATACTTGCAAACATATTTCTGCTACCTCATATGTCAGTCCCTTTCTGGTCTCTTTCACTTTATTGTTCCTTTCGCTTCTGTTATCTTTTAATGTAGCCAAGGGTCATAACAAATATGTATCCATTATTTGACATTAAACAGAGGCAACTCAATTTGGTAAAATAAGTCTTATGAAAGATAACTGGCAGATACTCTAATATTTTTAGTGTACTGAGATGTGTAGACATTCTATGGAAAATGACATATAACAAATTTCACTTGAAGGTTGTCTCTAATGTTAAAAATAGAGTCATTGGTAATCAGGCTTGTGGGCCAGTCAAAATGCCTTCGCGGGCTGGATCCGGCCCACGGGCCATAGGTTGCCAACCCTTGATGTAGAAGATACTTAAAGCAACAGAAATGTGGTTCTACAGAAGGATGCTGAGAATACCATGGAGAGAACATTCTAGGAATGACAAAGTTTTAGTGAAAATGGAAACAAAAAGGACACTTCTACTTAGAATCAGAAAGAGTTGAAATTCATCTGGAAAATGAAATCATGAGTATCAAAGACCACTTACGACTATATAAAAAAACAAAAAAAACATCTCCATTCTTTCTCAAGCATTGATGAAAATACAATAAACCTATAATTAATATAACTGAGCTAACAAAATATTAAAATACTATAGAAATCAAATTTCTGTGTTAATTTGTTACTTATACATTTTATTTTTAAGATATGGAATTTTAATACTTACATAAAACAATATTAAACAAAATATGTGCATAGAAATTATGATATACAAATCATACTAAATCAAGAATTATAAAATTGTATGTGCAGGAAATTCTGTCATCCAGGTTTTTTATATTAAAAATTCAAATGTCTGAATTCCAAATAATAATAAAATAAAGAAAACATAGGTACACCTGTTAAATAATTTGTATTTACAAACATATGTACATGACTGCAAAATGTCAAAGAGGAGTAAAAATAGTCTTTAGAGGAGGTAAAGGTCTTTGAATAGTTGGTCCACAGAAAAAAGCTGCAGCTTAGAAAATACTTAGTCCACAGAAAAAAGACTTTGGTTGAGAAAAGACTGATCATCTGCAAAGATTCACTGGCCATTCATGCTGTTGTTGTAGGAGATGATTCGTTTGAAGTTTCCAACATATTTCTTTAGCATGTGCCAGGGTGGGGAAGGAAAAAGCCATATATCCACATCATCCCTTGTGTTTGAATGGCTTGGACACTGTTGCATCTCTGCTGTAGGCTTTTATAAGAATTTTTTTCTGAAAGTAGGCTTGAGAAAAATAGGGTTTATTTTTCTCTGATTGGTCAAATATTTCATATGGTGATGTTAATTTCTAACCAATGGACACTGACTTAAACAGTGTGTGTTGTATTGTAGAATCTTTTTGCCATGTTTGTAATATTGTCTGTTATTGGATAGAAAATGATATTTGGGCATCATTTAATATGGTGCTATGCAAAACAAAGATACAATAGATTTCAACAACTATGGGCATTCAGCCCCAGGAGGATGGATGGAAACCAAAGAAAGAAAAACAAAACAATAAAAATATCAAGTTTTTATTTCTGTATCTCAGATACAATGAGAAAGAAATTGAGAATGGATTTTTTTTTATGCAATGAATTTTTTAAGGATAACAAAAATAAATTTTGTCATGTATCTTCTACAAATTCACCAAATGTCACTTGAGAGCTGCTTCAATTTTGGGTCTAAGAGCAGACATCGTTATTAAAATTGCTTCCTAAAAATAAAGAAAAATGAAAATAAATATTCTTATAAAGATTATACCTAAATTTATGCATGTTATTTTTGGTCTTCATCTACTCCAATTTTCCTACAAAAATATAACACTGCTTCATACATGTGAATATAAAAAAACAAATATATTCCAGAATGGTATAGTCAAAGTAGTAGCTCAAAAGATGTTGCTATGGTAATAGAGTTAAAGTACAGAGTTAAGCTGCTTGGCACAGATTGAACTTGAACTCTGTCACACATACACACTAAATTATAACATTCTCACTGACTTCTCTTGTTTATAGCAATGCCTGGAAGGTAAGTGTGTAGAGTGTAGATGTCTCATCACACCAGAGGTTCCATCAATGACCATGGCTTGTGCAGCAGTTTTTGGTCAAGCACAACATTTCCCGGGTCTGACAACCACCATATTCCCAGATCTTATCCCTTGTGATTTTTTTCCTCTTTAAAAATCTAATCCCACTTGAAAGGAACAAGATTTCAAGATGCTGAGGAAATCCAATAGAATGTGATGAGGCAGTTGCCCACTATCCCCAAAAGGGAGCTTTAGGAATGCTTCCATCAATGGAAATGACACTGGATAAAGTGAGTATTATCAGAAGGAAACTATTTTAAAGAAGATGAAATGTTGAATTGATATGTGCTTCAGTTTTCTTTTTACGGTACCAGTCCCTAAACTTTTTGATCAGACCTCATATGATTCTTTGGCACTCATAGAAATTCATTGAATAAATCTTTTTTTTTTTAATCTGATATGTGTATTTTATGCTGTAGTTTTATTGTAGTCATATTTTGGAATACAGTTTGTTTTCTTAAAGATATTTTAGGATATTATATGGATTAATATCATGAAAGAGTTCTTTCATGTTGGTTATTTGGTTGTTTGATTTTGTTTAGTGGTATATCAACACCTCTATGGGTTTTTTAATGCTGAAATCAAAATATTTTGACACAATTTTATGGCTTCAACTACAGATAATGGTCATTATACTACAAAATGTACTGCTGATCATGTTTCTTATATAAAAATATATTGCTGGTATTTTCACTATAAAGATGTATTTTTATACATTTATTATGTTTTATTTTTGCTGGGGGTTTCGCTATTTGCCCGAAGGTGGGACCCTAACAGGTGCTACCAGTCCAGTATATGGTGAACCTGGGAACAACAGCAATTAAGGTAGTTCCACACTCCTCAAAACCTTCAATCTCACAATCAGAGGCCTTGCTGCCAGATGTAGTTTATTGTCATGCCCAGGACTAAGAATATTAAGAACATTGGCTAGAGACAAATAAGCAGCCAAACACCTTTAAGTAAATGTCACAATGAGTTGGGCAAAACAAATTTTCATATGAATATAGGGCTACATTTAGTGAACTTGATTGCTTTTCTTTTTTTTTTTTCATGAAAACAGTCAACCAACACAACTTAGAAGACAACAGGGGAAGAGGTAAAGCAACTGTTTCGAATTAGTATTGTAGGAAGTAAAAATAATAGGTCCCTATAAAAACTGATGATGGCATCAAGATAAATGCAGAGAATTACTTTAAGTTCTTGAATAAAACATTTTATTTTTTTGATGGTACAACTCATAAGCAAAAAGTTTTCAGCTAAGACAATGATCATTCCCATTGTGAAAAACTATTTCCCTCTATGCAAAAAAAACAAAAACAAAAAAAAAAAAACAATAATAATTTCAAAACACTAAATTAATGAAATGGGTTCCCAGCCACTCCAGATATTAATCCAAACTTATAGACCCTCATTAAAGGAGATGTATATGAGAATGGCGATTATTCTTCAAGCAAAGGTCTCTGGAAAGTGACTGCTACAAGCAATGTTTAAAAATAGCAACAGTAGAAAAGTTAACAAAATCAATTGGTAAAAAGACAGATGAAGGTCATAGAATGTCAAAGAGCCCATATGAAGACATAAAATAATAATTGATTTGGATATAGAAGATACTGTGCTAATCATATGTTTCTCTGACCTATATGTATTTATCTATAAAACATTGGTGTGGTACAGGTTTCATTTGGCATGAAAGACACCCCACAAAACAAATTATTAATATTTTTTTTAATAAGGTATATGTTATAAATTGGACTCAAAATATATTTTTTGTATAAATATATCCTGAAAATTTTACCAATATTGGTTGCTCAATACCAAAATAGACTTGTATAATACAATCTGACATCATATAAGGAAGTCTACATTTATATATTTTCCTGGCGGTACAAAATTTTATTATTGTAATCAAAATGAACCCGTTATTAAAAAATATACAATAGGAAATGAAGAACAGGAAAAGAAAAAATATATAATTACCAAAGTAAAAAAAAAATGTGAAAGAAGAAGAATATTATGTTTTAAAAATATAAAAACAAAAATAAGAGAAATTTTAATTTATAAACTGACCTCAGTTCGTATTGTACGGCTGCCTTGATTTGGACAAGTATTGAGATAATGAGCAAACAGATATTTGGGATCATCTATCTGAAGATTGTCATCAGCATCAAGACTGGCTTCAAGACCTTTTACACCTCCAAACACAACCAGAGCATGCCTAGAGGAATAAATGAGACAAAAAAGTATTATTAGTTTTCTTCCTTTTTTTTTTCACTTTCTTAGATGAAGCATTGGAAGCACAAATAGCAGAGTGATTATTAGCATGGAAAATGGAATGAATGAGCTGAATTCAAATATGATTTGTTCACTTCATGATACTGCCCTAAGAAAATTGATTAGTTTTCTATGGCTTATCAACCCATTGCAGGTTATTTAAAGCCAGAAAAAAAAAATATATATATATATATTTTTTTTTTGAGATCATAATGGTTTAGTTATACAAGTCTTACTAATTAACCTATAGCTGGAGGGTGAACAGGTGGATTCATACCTTTCCCAAGGGTATTTACATGTAAGTGCATATAATGAACCTAACAGGAATTGGAAATCAGCTCCCTGATTAATAATTCCTAGCTATGATCCATTGCACCACCTGTACATACAAGCTTACAGCAACTGGTATTCCCAAGTGGTCACCCATCTAGGTACTGACCAGGCTCAACATTGCTTAACCAGTAATTGTATTGGAAACAATGTTTTAATGTGATATAGCTATAAGACGATAGTCATTCAAACTATGATCTGCAAATTTTCCTGGAAACTAACAGAGCAGTGGTTACCAAACTTTTTTTTTCCTCTAGGCTGCACAAAACCAATTTTTATGTGATAAAATATACATTTAAAAATGAAAAACAGAGAGAGGGATAAAGGGAGATAACCGCAGATTCGAAGTCAGAACATTATCATTGATAACTCTCTCTTCCAATTTGCGGATCCTCGTTACTATATTCTTTATAATTGATATAATGCAAAAATATCACAATGATAAAATCAGTCAATAATTATTTATAACTATTTATACTGAGACTCATGCATGCAATTACAAATAATCCATAATAATATTTTAAATTTTGGAAACATTTATTTCTGGCATATGAATTTCTTGAAACTGTTTCTAAATCTTTGTCTTTCAATCATTTCACCTCACCTGCTATCCTCTTCCACTGCACCTATGAGGCATGCAGCACTGTTTGAGAACTACTGCCTTAGAGGCAAACACAGATACACACTATTGCAGTCAGCCATAATGCTGTCCAGGCAAAGAGAGTCTACCATTCACTTTGCAATCTAACCACACACATACCTAGATTCATATGAATTTCTTTCTCCAGCAACTGTCCCTGAATTTTTTTTTCAATGAGATACAGTTCACTCCACACTGTCTTCAAAGACGAAGATTTTGTATCATTTGTTAAAGATAATTAGTTCAAATTTATTCAGTTTCATCTTGTTCTTTTGTTTAGGCATTGTTTGAATTTAATTTCACCCTTTGTTTTCACTCAGTTACCACAAGGCTATATTTTTGCCAGTGGAAGACAATTTATTTGGCTTCAGAATTAAGAGATTATAAACTCTATCACAAGATAATTATCATGTCATAAAAGTATCTACTGTCAGACATGAAAGTAGATTGCATTTCAGACAATAATGTAAGTTCATTAGTAAAGCTTAAAAATGAAAAGTTATTAAAAAAAAGAAAAATGAAATACAAACTTGAATTTTTTCATTTGAAAATCATCAATGTTTGTTCCTCGTTCAGAAGTGCCAATTATTGCATCATATTCTCCATCAAAAGGACACTCGGCAAACACAGCACTCAAGCAGCTGGCCAGACGGACAGTGTAACCCCAGTAAATGCCATCTTCTTTCCAAGGAGTTGAATAAGAAACTATTTTGCCTTTTAATTTCTCTAAAAAAGAAACAGAATCTCATTAAACATATATCAAGTTCAAGAATGTGTTGAATTTTTAAACCAGAAAAAATATAAAAGTACATAGACCCACATGTATAAAAACACATTTTAACCATCATTGGCTAAATGTTGATATCCACATTTAATTAATAATTAAATGTATTGGCTGGAAAAAAAAAGAAAAAAAGTGTAGCCTATCTTCTGATGTTGAGAATGTCTACCTGTTTTTAAAAACATCAACATTTAAAATCCTGTCTTTTACAAACAAAAGTTACAATTCTTGGAGATAAGTTATTAAATCTTCAGGCACAAAGCAAATGAAGATAAAATAGATGAAAGGTCATAGAGAGATGATTTTGGTAATCATTGAATCATTGGTCAACACTAAAGAATCTCTTTCATCCATTTGGAAATAAATAAATATATTTTAAGGTATTTTAAAGTCCCCAAGGACACATGGCCGAGTGATTCAAAAAGTGATTTAATCCCAAGAGTTTCAAGTTCAATACCTGGCCACAGCAGAGGTAACAAAAACTTGGAGAATTGTGTTACTAAAGGGAATTAACTGAAACTGAGATATTCAAAAACGGACATCGAATTAAAACTATCTACCCCCATGGACTAAATAATGGGTGTGGTTTGAAATTCCAACGTATATCACTGAAGAAGGGTGGAGCATACAATGGTCGAAATATCATGAATATGGCAGTAAAGACAACAGTCTGAATGATGTAAATAGTTACAGTAACTCATCTCGGAAATATAGACAGATATTTTAAAGCTATTAAAACATAAATTAACTGAATGCTTATGACAACAGTAAATCTTGTTTTACAAGGGATTAAAAAAAGTGCTATAGTCCTGATAAAAGTTTTTCTTTCGAGAACAAAAAATAAGAAATTGCATAGCAACCATGATACCATTCAATAGGAATAAATTAATTTGTCTATCACACTCCTCCCCAGTCTTTTGAACAGGAGTAGAGGTTTATCCCTTGTTTCCTGGTCAGGACTGGGGTTTCCAGTTCCTTCTCCTTTATTCTTCACATTCAATTACACTCCCAATAGCCCACTTGTGTCTTAGTGGCATTATTGCCTTGATTGGGGAGAAATTATTAAAAAAAAAAAAAAAAATCCACTGTTGCTTGATACCATTCATGAAATAATGAAAAGTGAAGGCCATAAAATGTCCATGGAGACAGCCAAATACAAAAGTAGTACCACATTATCAAGGTAAATATGGGAAGCAGATGAGAGAAATATGACTACAACAATCACATGGAATATACTTAAGAAGACAGTGCATTATGGAAAAGGATCGAAAGTTGGTAGGTGAATGCTTAGAGGAAAAATTAACTTGCTAAACAAAAGATCAGAGATTATGGCAAAATGTAGACATGAAAAGAAGTTCTTGCTTATACAGTAGGAACCAGGAATTGAAAATTAAAAGAAAAAGACCCCCACCACTACAATGATAAAAATTAAAAAAAGACAAATCAGATATGCAAATTTTGTTGTTTGGCAACATCAGGTGGGACAAAATTGGTATATTCAAAATACAAAATCGTGTATGGTATAATGATAACCAAGCCGGCCTGAAGATCTGAAAGGTGAAACTACAGTAGTGCATGAAACATTCTTAGTATAGCTCTACAGTTTAACTATTGTACACTTTCCTTTTTTTAATTTGCATGAACTAGTTTTGTCCCGGAATTGATTTAAGTGAATGTGTGTGTGTGTGTGTGTGTGAGAGTGATAAAAATTTAGTTTTAAGGTATGCTATGTTTATGCTTAACAAGTGCTCAATATTAGGGATAGTGCGCACGTGTGTGTGTGTGTGTGTGTGTGTGTGTGTGTGTGTGTATATATATATATATATATATATATATATAAATAGAAAAATAAACACTGAGTAGCAACAGTGTTTGAATTTAATCCTCAAGCCATGTCTGAAGATTGTGTTCAAGCATGATGGTCACTGTTGACTAGTGTCCACTTTATATATGTGTGTGTGTGTGTGTGTGTGTGTGTGTGAGTGAGAGAGTTTGTGGATAGATAGATAGCTACTGTAGTTTGAAAAGTGACAAAATGGAAGCCATAAATTCTTATGTAATTTTAAAAAAATATGCTGAAAAGATGAGCATTAACACGTAACCAGCAGCCATCACTAATTAATAATTTAAATTTTTTCTAATGATGTAAGCAAAATTTATGATTTGCATCTGAATTTACTAATTAGTAACTCAATGATTCATGCAGTTCGTATTCACTAGGATTTATATTCCCCAATATATTTGCTTGAAAATAAAACTGCAAGACTATGCTAAAGACAGTTCTATATCCAGATTTCTTGAAGAGAAATGGGGTGAAAAATGGAGATAACTTGATTTGGTTTGACTTATTTCGTTTTATGGCATATCAACACCTCAGTCGTTTATTTAATGCCAACAAAATTTTTAGGATAGGTTTGTATGAATAGAATATGTATTCTTTGTAAGAAATCAGTTTGTAGATCAAATATCATTGATGTATTTTTGTAAAGAGGGTTTTTGTTGAGAGTCAAATGTATTGCTGGTAATATTTTCTTTCAAGAAAATGTATTGCAGGTAATATTTTTTTCTTCAAAAAATGTATTGCTGGTATTCTTACTAAAAAAAATATATTTTATGTTTCCATAGTGTTTTTAGACCCCAGTTTGGGGGTTAACTATTTTCCCACAGCTGAGATCCTAGCAGGTACTACCACCCTGGGTCAAAGTGAACCTGCAAACAACAACCATTAAGATGTGGTTCCACCCTTCTCAAAACATCCCAAGCCTTGCTGCCAGATGCAGTTTATTGGTGATCAACTGCACATCTTCAAGGATGTTAAAATATATTTGGGAGCCTAATATTTTTTTTATTTCTTTTTCCTTTGTTTTTATAATCTAATAGAGTCAAAATATTATTTTTATAGTCATTTTGTATACAATTAACATGAAAATAAGCATAAAAACTACCCTTTAAAATGCATTTTTTTTTACTTGTTTAATATGCATATTCATGCAACCTTTTCCCATTGTTTCAAGATTAAAATATATTTACATATGAAAAACATACCCGTTCCTAAGTTCTTTAGTTTCACTGTTACTCTCATACCATGTGGAACAACTTTATCAACTTCAACTTCCTGTTCAAAAGATAGAAAATAAAATTGCAAAACCCTGATGGATGATGCTAATTTTGACAACTTAAAAATCATGATAACAGATATTCTGATAAAATTTTCAAAGTCTTTGACCTCCTTGTGATGTCTTAACAGTCACATAAGTATACAAACAGTGGATGGGCTTTAAATTATGATGCCTGCTGCAATAAGGTTCTGAATGGTGAAAGAGTTCGTTTTTTTGTTGTTCAATTAATGCAATTCAAGAGACATCAGATTGTGAGCCATTTATAGTTGAAATTGCTAAATGTAACCATAAGTTCTATGCTAACAGTTTCTTCTCTTGCACTTCTCACTTATCTGGCCTGTTAGTTTCCAGTCAATGTTGATCTTCAAAAATGTAAATACAATATCAATTGTCATGTTCTATCACCTTAATTCCTGCTCTTTTATTGTTCTCGCTACTGTTTTTCATTTTCTTATATTCTTTCACATCAGTACCCTCTTGTCTTAGTGGTTTTATTGCCTTATTTGTGATGAAATGATAAAAAAAAAAAAGAGAAAAGACAGCTGTAGCAGAGTTCCCCTTGTCCACAACACAAATCAGAGGTGACTATTGGATATCAAAATTGGAAGAACAATAAAAGTACAGGAATGAAGAAGAAAGAAAATAACAATTAGCATTGCACTTAAATTTTTGAAGATCAAAGTTGGCTGGAAAGCAAAAAACTAAATGAGAATTCCACAAGTGAGATGTGTAAGTAAAGAAACTGTTACCATAGAACTTATGGTTACGTCTAGCAATTTCAATTTTAAAATAATGTGACCAAGCTGCCAATCTAGTACGGCATTTAAAGTTGAGGTCCAAAAAAAAAAAAAAAAAAAAAGAAAAAGCTCATCTAAATAATTACTATGAAAATATTTATGAAATGAAAGCTACATTACGCATAAAAAAAAAAAATAGTCCCCAACAGTAAGAACTTTTCCTTGATTTCCAGTTTTCCCTACTCATTGGTATCCTGATGTTCAGAACATTATTCAACCTGTTCTGTTGTTATTCCTATAACATGAAAGTGATATACTGTTCCAGTAGGATAATGCCTGCCAGCATGATGCCTGTACTATTCAACATGTTCTGTCCCTCATTGAATGTGTATGGTATATAATGGTATGACATTTGACTTGATCAGTTAACCTACCTATAACTGTATTGCAAAACAGTATTCAACATCTGTATGCTTGTATGTGCACAAGAATACAAACTTTTAACACATAAGGAGGATATACAATATTTATATATGGTGTCAAGGCAATGTTGATGCACCTGTTTTGGAACTTGTGCATATATTCTGCATATGGGAGCATTTATTATAATTCTGCTGCATGCTTAATCTTTAGTTAATTAAATGCATATTCAGGGCATTGTAATTTTATTTTTTGTCAGTCTATTAAAGCAAACTTTGAAGATAAAAATTTAAATATTCATACTCTTTATATTTGAAAGTAACATCTTTTAGAAATCACACATTTTGAATTAGCTTTTTAGAAAGATTTATTTTATATAGATGTGTAATGAAAGCTTTTCAGAAACAATATGTCTGCCATCATCTTCAACTGTGACAACACAGCAGAACTTTAACATCAATCAATCGCCTCAAAATTTTCTATACCTTGAAAATAATAAGAAATGAGTGACTGACTGTGTAAATCTAATTCTTCATGCAAGAAATTTCAGAGCACCTGCATCATAAACAAAAACAACCAATAAAGAGATAAATTCATTCTTTAGTTTCTGCTAGGTTTCAAGTTTTTCTTGAGGTCTCTGAAAAACAATATGACCTGTGATGTTCTTAATATGAGCACAGTATCTAAAAACCCAGTGTAGTCTTCTACAGAAAAGAAGTCGAAATGACAATACTCCAATTACTACGTTCAATAATTCAATGTTCTATCATCTCTGAGTGTGTACCCAAAATGTTTGTCAAAAAGACTACCAAACTCTTGCAATAATGGCTATCTCAATCTAAATTTCTGGAATGAGAAGTTATTATATGCATTATTTACAACCAGACTAACATCTTCATCATTGTTGATATGATCACAATGTTTTGGCTGTTGTACTTGCTGACCAGATTGCTGCTACATCTAATCTGGTTCTCCTGTTATATATCTCAAGATTTTTGACAAAAAAAAAAAAAAAGTCTAAATTTCAGTCACTTTCCCATCATCATAATGTGGCTTCCCTCAGTCTTTCCATGGAAATTGTTCTAAAGGGCTTTTCTCCTTGGAAACTAAAGACTTTAAGGCATTATGCTGGCTGTAGTAAGAATGGTAAGTAAGTGTTGTTTTGGTGTAAGGAATACTGTGGTATATTTGGGTCAGTAATCTGGCTAGCTAAGTTTAAGATAAGACACATTGAAGACCAGCCTTCCCCTATCCCCATTTTTGGCCTTGTGCCATATTTCTGTATTTTTCAAAATAAATATTGCTTTTCTCCTTTGTAAACATAATGTTCTTTTTTTTTTTTTACTTCATTAATGTATCCCATATGATATTTATAGATATGCTGGGCCTACTGAGCAGGTTGTCATTATAGCACATGTACTGATACTTTCTGACACCTGATTTTCCAATGTTCTCTGTCTAGTACATTTTGAACACTCTTTTCCCTTCATGTGAAATTTCATGGTCTCACTAATAATTATGGCTTTCAATGTTACTCCAGCCTTACCTTTAGATAGTTTTATCTTTGTATTATCTCTCATCTACTGCAAGGGATGGAATACACACAGTTCTTGGTTAGGTTTTACTCTGTGTTAGGCTTGACTCATCAGAGGCATCTTTGTAAATATTGAGCTGCTTCTAAATATTATCCTTATGTTGTGTGCACTGCAGATCTTTTGAATCATTTCTGACAGAATGGAAATGGACTGTAGTAGTTTTTCAAATATTCCTCCTCAACTTTTCTGTCTCTATTAACTTAATGCTAGCTGGGTTCAGTTTGAGATTCAAAACATGGGTTAAATAGCAAGGTAGACACTGATCTCTAGCCATGGTTGGTAACCAGTCTAGGAGAAGGACCAACCTGAATTAAAAAATCAGTCACTTGAAGCTGTACAAAAGGGTTAGACATGAGATACAGATACTGATAGATTTAAATGACTATAGATAATCCCTTGATTATCCAGAATGCCTTTGACACCAATGGACATTAGGCCAGGTCCAAGAAAGGTTTCAAGTGCATCTGTGAATGTTTTACTTCAAATAAAAATAAAAGGTAATAGTTACAACAATTCCTTTTTTATATACCTTCTTCAATCCAACATTGACTAAGCTTCCCCTTCCAGCCTTGATAGGCTTGTTGAGCACAAGACCTTCTCGATACAGAGACTCTTCATCAGCTCGCATGTGATGTGGGCAGTCAAGAGGATTCAGTAGACCTAGAAAATTAACAAAGTTTCATTTAATATTACTATTACAGGAGGTGTGAAACACAATAATTGTTATGATTATCAACTCTGAATTGGTTAAGCATCTCACTTCACACTAATTTCTTTCAAAGAAACTATATAGCTTTTACTTCTTTAGGTCAACTGCTAATATGCTAATGGTTATTACTGAAAGAGTCTGTTAAGCTTCTGATAAGAATGGGAAAGATCTGAATATGTCTTTAGATATCTCAAATACATCTGACAGGGTTAGCCATGCTGGTCTTCACAAGCTCAAGGGCTACCAAGACTCCAGCTGAATTTATGATTTGATCCAATATTTCTTAACAAATCATGCAATGAAAGTCAAGATGAAAGACCACTCTTCCAGATCCATTCACATTAATGCAAGAGACCTCCAAGACTATTATCTTGGACCCACTTTGTTTCATATCTTCACCAATGACCTTCCTGATGACATCAGCCCTCAACTCAGTACTTATGCTTATCATGCAACAATTTACACCTGTCTTAATACTCTGATAAAGTAAAACTGGCAACTGATCTCAAAGATGACCTTCAATCAATTGTTAACTGAGCTAAGAAATGGCTGGTAAATTTTAATGCCTCCAAAATGAAACTGCTATATTTTAGTCACCATAGAGAACCATTACCTTCCATTAACATGGCAGGTGCTAACCACCAGGAGAGCAACTCATTGTGTTTTCTTGGTTTCATGTTTTCAACTAACATGAAGTGGAATGATTATATTGAATCAATTGCTAGGTTTGTTGTTAAGAAAGTTTGTTTACTGTATTGGACCAGACAATTTTTCTGGTCAGAATCCATCTTGCATGTTTATAAATCTACCCTTCATCTGTGCATTGAATATTACTGCCATATCTGGTCTGGTGTTCCTGATAAATTATCTCGAGATTCTTGACAAAATCCAAAGAAAGTTCTGTAATGTTATTGGTCCTGACCTGATATCTAAACTTCCATCACTTTTCCACTGGTGTAATGTGGCTTCCCTGTGACTTTTCAATAAATATTTTCATGACAATTGTTTTGAGCCTTCCTCCTTGGTATCTTGACTGTAAGAATTCAAATATATTACTAGATTGGCAACTAGGTCTCATTGTTTTACTGTTGAAATAGCTAGATATAATCATAAGTTCTCTTCTAATAGTTTCTTTTCTCACACATTTCTTGTCCGTTGAATTCTTCTGGTTTGTTGCTTCCCTGTTACCTACAATCTTAAAATAAATAAATGCAACATCAATTGCCATCTTCTGTCTTCTTGAATCCTGTTCTTTTTTTACTAATATTTTCTTTCATTCTCAGTAATTTTTTGCATCTTAGTGGCATTATCACCTTACTTTGGGGGGGAGGAATGATAAAAAAAAAGGTTCTCTTCGCAACAACCCAATATAAAGAAAGAAAACAATTATGAATTATTACTGTAAATATAAAACTATCAAACGATGTTTGTTATTCATCTAGAGATAGATATGGAAAATATTTAAACTATAACAAAGAAAATTAAGAATCTGAAGTCAGCACAGATAATTAAGTGTTGCTAAATATAATTAAAAATAAATAGATAAATAAATGTAAAAATACAGGGGGGAACTGAAAAGTTCTCAACCCAACCAAGTTATTCTAAATAATGTTTTTTTTAAATAGATAAAATTATATAAAATAAAATTAAATAAAAAGTTTAGATTTTCTGAAGCCCCTTCTCATAATTTCAGACAAATCTAAAATATTAGATACTGTGGGGGTGGGGTGTTATTAGAAAACGAATGAAATATTTCACAGATACAAACAAGAATGGGAATGCAAATATAATAAATATGAAAAATATTTTTATTGTTTAAAACAAAAAACACTATCAATGTTGATTATTTATTTCTAAGATCTACCTGCATACTGAAGATCCTGATGTTTAGGAAAGAGGAACTTCCGAAGATACTGAGGACATTCTAGATACTGTAAAATTCGGCCCAACTGGATGTTTGCTTCGCCTTTCTTTCTGATACCATTAAAATCTCCTTCAACAGCACTGCAAAATAAGAGGAACAATATATTTGTTTTTTAAAAAAAAAAAGTTTTCCTCTCTGTTATATATATATATAACAGAGGAAAGCATTTTTTTTTTAAAAATGCAAAAATTAGAAAGAAACAGGGGCAAAAATGAACCATTTTATAGTATGGAAGATCAGGTACAGCTGATTATATATAAAGAGGAAAATGGGAAGGAGTCACTAACCTCTGTGGAATTAATGCAGTATGACAGAACAATACTGAAGAATAAAGTGACAAATGAATTGGTACACATGCTAAACCTCCTTGGTTTCAGGGCATAAAATACCACCTGATTACCCTCTTGAATATAAGTGTTGTTAAGTACACTCAATTAGCTTGTGATTGTGAGTTCAATCCTTGTGTCTAGCAATGAAATTCATATTCTTCTTTTATATGCTATGTCCTTTCAGGATGTGGGCAATCATGGCTATTTACAACTATTCTTTGGCATGCTAAGTAATGTTTGTCTCTCAATTATCCTTATCAATCCTTTTTATGCAAGTTCACGAGAAAGGTTGCTCAATTTTTTCCTTTACTCCTCTTGTCTTCACTATATCATGTGATCGTCAAATTTTCCAAACCCTCTTTCAACATCATGCCCCCCTCAGAAATTTCAACTATCTCTTTCTGATTCTAATTATAAATGACATATTTGTTTGCATTTTTCTTAAAACTATCTTGTTGCTTACATTTTTCTCCATGTTATGATTGGCATATTTCTGTAAAACTACATTCTGTTGCCTCAAGCCACCTCTCCATCTGTAAAGAAATTGTTCAACATTCACTGCCATATAGGAGGATTGATATTACATAGCAGTTTAACATTCTTTTCCTTTTTATAAAGATAATTTTTATGTTTCTTAATACTTTTAGATTTTGGAAGTTATCTTTCACTATTCCAATGAACCTTTCGATTTCTGTGTCACATCTATTAGCTGTTAAAAGACTTCTCAAAGAGTTAAAATTTTTATACTCGTTTCAATATGATGTTTCCAATTAGTATTGTGTCATCTCGGGTTAGACCTCTTTGTAACAATCATACATTGTCTTAGTCCTTTCTTCCTGTTTTTTTCCTTTACTACCTTGTCTAAGAGTTCCTGCAATTTTTGTTTTTATAAATGACATCATAAGGACGAATTAACTAATATGAGTTATGTCCCTTAGCATAGACAGCAAAATGAGAACACAGTTGCCGAATAGATATAATTAAGTGTTTTATGGTATTCAAAAAATAAATTAAAAATAATTTTAAGTTACATTTATTCATATATTATTTATCAGAAATGTAACCACCTTCATTTTCAACAACTGCAACACAACAGGGACAAATCTTTGATTTCACAATTAAAAAAAAAAAACTGTTTGAAAGACTGTTTTCAACTTCAATATGGTGAGTATAGAATATGCCGAAAAACATCTCATCCTAATGGCCTTACTTTTTTTTTCATGAGTTTGTTTTGCTGAATGTACCCTGACATGCTGAAGTTACCACCTTTTCTATTTAACAACCTTTTGTTTACCTAATCAAGTTGCTGGCAATAAATGTCTGCAGTTATGGTCCCTTCCATTTTCCAGCAGCTCATCATGGACGACATATTTCATATTCCACTAGACACAAAGTAAGGACTTTGATGGATGGAGTACTGGCTTTGGTGTAAGCATGGTTTCTCAAATTTGTTTTTTTTTTTTTTTTTTTTTTTTTCATTTCATTTTCCATTGACATGCAAAACTAATTTTTCATCATTTGTAATGGTGCAATGCAAAAATGAAAAGTTGCAATCCCTTGTTCAAAGACAACCGCAAATGGCTGAATATGGTGTTCAGTTCTCAAGCTCATTAAGAATCCAAATATCCTCTTTGTAAGTTTTCTCAATTAAACTCCAAAATGCATTACAAAAACACACTTGATGACAAGCCAATTCTAGATGCAGTTTCCTACTATGTGAAATTTCTGGAAGATGACTGGATACCTAAATAAAGTCAGAGAGTACAATGGCCCAAATATTCTGATCATAACAATTGAAGATGAAAAAACCTGTTCAAATACAACTTGGAAAGCTAGCAAAAGTCTATGTTCAGAAATGAAGCAAAATTAATTAATTATAATGAGATAGAAAATTTGGAAGATCCCCTAAGGATAATCTATGACTACTATTAACAGAGCAATATTAAAAACTCACTTATCACCATTTCCATTTTCATCAAAGATAATAATTTCATTAATGTTGAATACAACTGCAGCTCGGGCAATCTGAAATGGAAAATAAGCTAAATATTTCACAAAAAACTGTACAAATAGCATTTCCATAATTTAATATTTATTAGATATCTATCAGGATTTTTAGTTTAATCATTGAACAAAATCTCCCTGATAATCCATCAAAAAATTGTTAAATTTCCTGATTTTGGATCATCACATTACAAACAGTAGTAAGTATATGACTGTGCCAGAGCACAGTTAAAATGGGTTTAAAAAAATGTACATTGTAGAAAGGGAAAAAGATATATTAATTTTTATATATCAGAAAAATTTTAGGAAAATCTAAACCTACAAGGACTTTGAATAAATGATTATATATTATATATAATATAATAAAAAGGCTTAAACACTATTATTCCCTAATAAAAAGGCTTGAGTTCTACCTGGGTTCTATCCTCTTGGAATTATTTTTATACAAATATATGTGTATGTATGTATATATATATATATATTTTAGATATATGATTGCATATGTACGTGTATATTTACCACTAATATTATCTCTCTCTCTCTATATATATATATATATATATATATATAAAAGGAATCTTTTACAAAGACACACCACACTCAATGCATTAGTTGAACACCATAATAAGTCTGTCCATTTACATTTTGATTTAAAAAAATGCTATTTTAATTAGAAAAGTAAGCAATTTATTAAGACAAAAAGTGCATTAATTGCAATATCATCCACAGTAAATTTATGTCTAGGTTCTTACAACATTTCACTTTTCTTGGCAGTTCTTCTATTATCACAATAGAGCAAAAATGACATAAAAAGAAAAAGAAAATAAGTGAAATCAGTTAGACTAAAAACACAAACATGAAAAACATTAAAAAGAAGAAAAAAAATTTTTTTTTAAAGTTTAAAATGTCACATCCTCTCTCCTTCATCCATATGTATAATCACATTAACATAAACATCACTTTAATCTGATGAAGTCCTAAAGGACAAAATGCATCACATGAAACTTTTTTCCATCATGTCATAGATTTTCCTAACATTGTAGAATACAAACTTTCTAATCATATACAATGTAACATATTTACTTTAAATATATGATGTAGTCAAGTCTATACTTCAATTTATCCATTCAGGATTGAAAGAAGTAAATATTTTTATGAATCCTAGAAAACAAATACAGAACACATAAATAAAATTTTGCATTTCTTTTCAAACAATTTTTAATCTAAAAAAGCATATAATAAACATGTCATTCATGTCAAATTGCATTAGAAAATGTCATAATTTTCCTGTTTTCTAAGTTGTTTGTGAACCCAGCATATTGATTTGTGAAAAATATTTCCTACTTGAGACATTATGAAATCTTATAATATATCTATACACATTGATGAATTTATTTAAAAAAGAAAATGCCATGTTGCCAACTTACCTGTCCAGCAAGATATGTGCGCAGTTCATAGGATTGAGCATTGTCCAAAATTGAACCAGGTAATGCAATTGAGACTGTGTAATTGCAACCTAAAGTTTTTTTAAAAAAGTTAATGAGAACACAAAATTAAAATTTTTAAATTTCTATACATTTAATAAGTTGTGTAAAGTAAAATACAAACATTTATTCCTCCAACTGTTTTTATTTTCATACTCAAAATTTATTTTTTTGAAAAATGTTAAATTAATGAGAAAATAGAAAAAAAATTTCAATTTCTTCAAAGTAAAGGCAGTACATGAATTGTTAAACTTGCATTTGAATATCAAGCTCGAAAAGGAAGTATAAAATTTGTGTTAAATAGTTTCAGTTTTATGGGATGCACATTTAGTGTAACAGATATTGGCACAGAAAGTGAAATGATCCAGCAGAGTTCAAATTCTAAACTAGTCACTTTTGCACAGATGTTCTTGGGAAAGACATGCATCCCTCTCTTCTACTTCTATAGATTAAATAGCAGGGTAGACTGGTCTTTCTAGCTTTGCCTAGCAAACAGTCTAAGAGAAAGAAAACTCTGAAATCAAAACCAGAGAGGTGGTAACAGGAAATCCCTCCACTGTCTTTCACAAGATGTCATGGCAATTTACACATAATTTAAAAAGAAAAAATAAGAGGAATCCTATATCCTGAAGGGATATGGCATAAAAAGTTACAGTACATAAAAAGTTTTCAATCTGTAATTGAGAAAAAAAAGTTTTTTGCAAGAATTTATAAAAATGTTTAATAAATTTGTGATTTTTAACACTGGTAACAAGATGAAGTCAGACTTCTTTTTGACAAATAAAAACAATAGAAATTTAATCAAAAACACACTGAGAAGAGGACAATGCCATATAGTTATTGTGGTCAATTTTAGGACATTTAAACTAGTAAATGGTTTTCTATACAAGGAATAAAAGATCCAATGCAGTTGAAGATGGGAGAGAAAAAGAATAAGAACTTGTTTTAAGAAAGAAAAAAAAAATCAGATTACAGGAGAAAAAAAATAAAAATGCTTATCTTCATTCACTAACAAGAGCACCAATTAAGGTAAAAAAATAAAAAAAATAAAAAATCAACCAGATAACCAGTGAAGAAAATGTAAACAAAAAGGAATTTTGTCATTTTATATTGAGTAGTAGTCTAAGACTCATGTTTTCTAAGATATAAAGGTAAAGTAGCCGGGATTATTACAGGAGTATGCTGGTTGGGTGTTTAGGTGGAAAACATGTGTCTTCTGGTATGTTTATCCAACAACAAAAATGGTGGACTCAGAATGTGAGTCCAGGTAATAAAGAACAAAGTAACAATAAAACTATATATATATATATGTTTGAAACAAACAACAAGTTTTAACAAAACAAGGATATACATAGACAATAGAATATTATTGTGTGTTACAACACAATGAATATGAAAGAAGAAAACATTTAAACTAGCAAATTGTTTGTGTGTGCAAAGTTTGGTGTAGGAGAAAGTCCTAAAAAAAAGGAAGTGAAAGGTACATAAGTGTGTGTATGCATGTGTGCATTCCGCAGTGGGGAAAGTGTTTTCCTCTTTCAACCTACATCTTACTGTCCCTGAGTGAAATAAGAAAAAGTGAATGACAGAGAATGTTACTGCCTATTTATAGGCTTAGAGGGCATCCCCTAGCAGCATTTTTTTAGGAAAGTAAGTGGGGTGACTCCACAGGATTGTCAAGTCAATGTGAATGATCCTTTCTTTAGCTGCATAGCATGTGCTTCACCAGGACTTCATACAAGAACTAAAAAAGAATGGTAATTTGGGAGAGTCTTGATCACTCACATCCTAAAGGGACATAACAGGTAGAATAATAAGAATGAATATCGTTTTTATAATTTAAATGACATTGGGTTTAAATGTTGTTATTAATATTGTTCATTGTGAATATTTATTTTTGTTTTCATTTCACTCCAAACAAAGCAATAAAGCCACCAAGAAGCAAGGGGTTATTGAGTGTTAGGGAATATGATAAAATATACTATTATGAAAAGAGAACAATAAAAGAACAGGAATTAAGAAGACAGAAAATAACAATTGACATTGCATTCAAATTTTTCAAGATCACAGTTGACAGGGAAGCAAGAAGCCAAAAGAGAGTTCCACAAGTGAGAAGTGCAATAGAAGAAACTGTTAACATAGAACTTACAGTTACATCTAACCATTTCGATTGTAAAATGACGAGACCTTGCTTTAAATCTAGTACTGAACTTAAATTCATAAAGTCTAGCTAGCAAAGAGGAGAGTTCATCAGAACAATTACCATGTAACTATTTATAGAAAAGGCACAGGAAAGCTATGTTATGATGGTGGGAATGTGACTGAAGCCGAGGTGCCAGGTCAGAGCCAATAACATGGCATATTTAATTTAGTTTCCTCTGAAGATTAAAGTTACATCAATAATCTCTAAATATATAGCAGGAGCACCAGAACAGATATGGAGAACGAACCCAATAAGCAACAACACAACATGGTAGAAATTAACAAGTAGCACTATGTGGCCTAATGATTGTTACATGTTCAATCATACCTGCTTCATTTACTATTTCTTCACTTTTGTCATCAGTCTGGGAATTCTCTTGCTTTTCTTCCTGCATTTGTTCATTCTTTAGCTTTTTTTCCATGGCTCTTATGAGCCGCTCTTCTTTCCATTTTTTCTTCCGGAGTTTTCCTTGAAACATAAGCAATATTTATGGCATTATCATTTGGAGAACAGTTTCTGGAATTCAGTCAAAAAGAGTTCTTACTCTGACATTGAAAAATAAAGAAAGAAATAAAAAAATACATGTACATAGATTTACTCCATTTCAGGTTCATTGGAAGTTATCAAAGTTCAATTATTTGTGAAAATATAATGCACCTGATGGAGTCTATTTTGTTGAGCAGACAAGAAGACCGAAGAAAACTATTTTAAACTTGAATGATAAAACATTAAAAGAATTAATAATATACGCAAGAAAAAATGTTTCATTTTTGCCATCAAAAGGTATCTCCAATGTCAAAATCATTTGGATGTTAAAAAGCAACGTTGAGTTCTTTTACCATCAACAATGTTTTATATGAAATCTTGAAAGTCACAATGTTATACTTAATGTAATTGGGTTGTGTTACAACTTAAAATAATGATTTCACATGACTTCTACAACGCATTTTATAAAATTTTACATTTACTGTTTTGAGTTTATAGAAAACAAAACAAAAAAAGAAAACATATAAAGGAATTTTAATAAAGAAAGAAAAATATAAAAGAATGTATAAAAACTATTCAAAATGGTAGTCATTTGACGGAGTGATCCAGTGATTCATTTTCTACAGTTTATCAACTCTTTGAAGGTTATTTAAAGCCAGGAAATTTTTTTAGTTAATAATAGTTTAGTAATACAAGTCTTACTAATTAACCCATAGCTGGCAGGGAAAAGAGGTGAATTCACACCTTTCCATGGGTATCTGCATGTAAGTGAATACAACAAACCCAACAGGAATTGGAACTTGGCTCTCCACTTAAAAAATCAGAATCATTATCCATTACACCACCCACACATGCAAGTTTACAGCATCTGGTATTCCCAAGCGATCATCCATGTAGGTACTGACCAGGCTCAACATTGCTTAACTTCAGTGATCATATGGGAACCAGTGTTTTAATGTGATGTAGCTGTAAGCTAGTAGTCATTCAAACTATGATGTGAAATTTTCCTGGAGACTAGTGTTTCAGACAATATAATCATGTAATTAAAATAACTTTTTTTTTTTTTAAAACAAAGTTTGAGATATTACCATCTTACATGATTAACTATATTCCAAACTTTATTACTATGCTAGATATCTGGATCATGCGTAGAAATTTCATTGAAGCTCACAAGTAAATGAACAATACCAAAGACATTAATAAAGTACCAATAAACAAAAGGTTTAATAGATAACAAAGTATTGTATTTGCTTTTGCATAAAATGCTTCCTTTTCTTTTTTTTAAAGGTACCAAAAAACTGTCCAGTGTATAATTATAGCTGTATTACAGATGGGAGATAACTATGTGCTATACCAGTCGATTAGGACATCAGTTGAGCCTGTCTCCACTAAGCATAAAAATTGTTACTAGTAAAAAAATATTGAAAACAAGCCAAATTATTACAGTAAATTGTGTTAGTCTGTACTGTTTTCTGAAATACCAGTTTCTGTCAGAATGTATTCAGTTTTTTCCCTTTTGCATATTACTAGTAATATTCAGTAAAATATTTTGCTTTGTCTGCATTTACTGTAATTATCTATAAGAATTCATTCACATTTATTGTCCTTTTTACTGATTGCTTCATATTAGTTTGCTTTATTGATATGTACCAGTACTCATTGATACAAATGTTCCACCATTTCTTTTCTGATTTGGCAAATTTAGTTTCCTTTGAAGATTAAAGTTACAATATGATGTCATACTTTATTCCAGTACAATATTGTATTTACAGACACAAAATCATACATTTTCACTACAAATCCACTTTCAGATATATTTCAATAAATACATGATGAAACATACTAAAAAAATTTTTCCACAAAATATCCTTGTAATATAAGGGGGCATCTTATATGAAGGCAAATATGGTACATGCCTTTATAAACTTTGTATTGAATTAGCTAAGAATAGTTTAGGGAAGTGGATATTGTACAATACAAGACAATCTGATAACTTATGTTTTATATCAACTCCTGAGACCCTTCCTGTGTATATTGATACTAAAAAAATTAATTTTCAGAAAATAGCAAATGAAATGACAAATGAATGAGTTTTGATTTATGTTTTTGGCAAAAAATAAGAGACAAGGTAACTGGCTAAATTTTCATTTGGGTTATTGAACTTTTAAAATATATTTACCTTAAAAAAATGTCTGAAAGAAAAACAAAATAACTTACGTTCCTCTCGTTCCTTTTTCAAATCCTTTTTTTTCTACAAAGAAATGTTTATAAAAATTAATTTTATTTTTTGGCAACATTAAATGTGATTATCTCCCTTTAAATTAGAAAGTGAAACAAAATATTAATTAAACTAAATTTATTATTACATAATTTATTACAATATTCATTTAACAGATTCTTTTGAATGTGCACTGTCTTCTTGGTTGTTCTTATTTTGGTTGAAAAGAATCATTATAATAACGACGACAACAACGCTGTGTTTGCTAAATTTAACTATTTAAGTGGAAAGATGAATTTTCAACAAAAAGAACATTAAAGATTTATCGAAATAAAGAGAGTACAGAAAAATTTAAATAAAAAATATTTTCGAATATTTCTCAGAAATTGCTAGTGAGTTTAAGTTTGTGTCAATAGTTTATCTTTTAAAATTAACTATTCACAGATTCAAATAAAAATGGAATTATTTTAATGTATATTTTCAAATAACCATTCATTACAAAATACTGCTAGGTGAATACTTGTGGAAGACAATTCTCTTTAAACAAAATGACATAAAACAGTAACACAAATTATAGATACGGAAACGAAAAACTATTACTTAATACAGCAAAGTTATTTTTTCTTTTTAAGACTTCTGACAATGCATCGAAAATTCAAATACGCTACTTTGTTGGTACGCTAAAATATAATTTATCTCTATAGCACTAAGGCCGCAATTACTTACCCTGCAATGAAAATTTTGGATCATCAATGATGAAAATAATAAGTATCAAATGTTAAGTAACGACCATAAAAAAATCGGAGAGAATTATTTCAATTTTTCTATAAATTATATTTTCTTTAACATTCTCATTTTGTGTTACTGTCTGTGACGTGTCTGTGTAGTGTAATGTAAATATTTTTTGCCGATGATGAATTTAAAATCGGCAATTCAAGATTGATAATTATGTCAAAACTTTAAAGTGAAAAATGTGTATTCAGTCTTAATTATATTTTTTTTCTGTTGTTTTGTCTTCATTTGTGCGTTCTTGAAAATATCACTTCGAAAATCTGTAAATACGTGTTACGTACAACAAACAAGTAAAAACACGTGGTGGGAGTTAATAACAGGAAATACATGTGGATGAAGAAATATGAGACCTAACTTTTATAAAGTTAATAACGTTCATAAAAAGATATTTAAACAACACTCACAAGACGTATAATCGACATAGTATTTTTTGTACGATTTGAAGGAAATTCCATGCTGTTTCTTGCCAAGAAGAACCATATAGCTAACAAACCGGTGTACACATCGGTGTCACGTTCCGATAGTTCCGTCTGATATATCATACCATGTTACCTTTGGAAAAACATAAAAGTATAAGGCAGTTTGATTTGATGGCAGAATGTCTAACACCCCAAAACATACATTTTAATTCGAAGTGATATGTACATGAGGTTCTCTCCAGCACATTCAACCAGAAGAAGTAAAACCATGATTTCAAATAATATTAAGTAGTTTCCTTATGAAACTAAATAAGAATTTGGAAAGTGTGTGGTACAAAATGTCATATATTAAATTTTACAATGTTCATTCTGTTTAAAAAAAATACTAATGTTCATATTATAAGATGTGTGTATAACATAATGATCACTGGTATGAAAAGTGAAGGTGCCAAACAGAGTTCAAATTTTTACCTGCATTACATTCACTTTCACACTAATGCTCTTTGGATATTTCTTCTCTTCCCAATTATGGCTTAAACAGCCTTGATTAGAAGAAAGACAATTCGGAATTCAGAACTGTAAAGAAAGCAACAGGAAACCACTCCAATATTTTACCTAAGAAGTCATAGTGATTTACAAGTAATAAAGAAACAGAACCTGTGAATGGCTATGATCACTTACATCCAAAAGAAACATGCCATTTTAAAAAAAATGGACAAACTTGACCCTCATGCTTGCACAAAAAAAACAGACTGTCAAAGTGACAGTTTTTCCATTGACACTGCTATTATTTTAACTACTTTTGATCCTTGACAATGTTTATTATTCTAAAAAGCAATGATTAGAATTGTAATAAAACCTAAACATAAGATGAAAGTAAATTTATACATTTTTTGTTTGTGAGAATTTACAACAAAAGTATTAAACACTATTTATTAGATTGTTTATTTACAAGAATAGATTTATATTCATAACATTCTAAAAATTAATACAATTAAAAACTAATGTAATGCAATATTTATCATTGATCAATTTATAAAGAAATAAATATGAAAACAACTTTTTATTCATAAATTTATAAATAGTTACTAAATTATTAAAATATATGAACAAGCTATAAGGAAATCTTTATTATTTGCCATTTTATAAAGTTTGAATCGATTGGAAAATAGCTGATGTTTTGCCAACTATTCCAATAAATAATATAAAAAATAGATAGTAGAGAGTTACAGAGTAAGAAGCACATTTCATGTAGATATGGGGAGAAGGTAACAGTTAACCCTAAACTTGAACAGGTTAAGATTGTAGTGATCAGGGAAGCATCCTCTTAGGAGTCAGTTCCAATGTGCATGGCATGGCAGATCTTAGCTGTGAAAGTTAGAACTGGTGGAACTAAGGAATGTAATTCATCAAAACACTTTCCATGGAAATAATGTTAGAGCAGAAATAGTGATAGAACAGTGAGGAGCTTGCAACGTTTTGTCTGTGGGAAAGGGGTTGTAGGGTGAAAAATAAGTTTGCCTTCATTAGGTATGGTTAATCCTTCAGGGAATTTCAAATTGAACTCTTTATTTAATCTAGAGGGGTATATTATTCTTGTCTCACTGACCATATTTCGGGATATCTCATCTAGTTTTTATTTAGTACTGTTCAGTTATTGCTTGCCCTGTTTCCACCAAGTCCAAGTTGCAACTACCCAGCTCAGAGATTGAACTTACAATTATTACATGTCACAAAATTCATAATCCATAATCCATTAAGCTAGTGGATCAAAGTGTTGGTTTGTGAAGGCTACTCAGATTGACAAGCACCTGATGAAGCACAACAGACAAAACATGATAATAACAACAAAGATGAGGACAATAGTCTGCATACAAATAATGTAAATAATAAATTGAAAAGTTGACAATGCTTGCAATATCATTCAGTATACTTTGAACAATCTTGGTTTAATTCCATGATTAATATGACAAGAAAAGAAATAACTTGTACAATTTTTCTTTTCTAATATCCTTTACAGATCATGTTTTTTATTAAAGACAATTATCCATATATAAGTACAGATTGAAAAAAAATTGTCAAGTTTGGTTAGGTACCTCCATGAGATCGCTAAAAAAAGCGCATAGCATGATGAAAAAGACGCCAAACTTGATGAAAACAAAATTTTATTGTCTAAATGTTTATGTTATTATTAAGAGGAAAGATCAAAGTATTTTGGGGGGATTTTTTTTACATTTTTTAATTGTTCATAACACGGCCGAAATTTTCGTTAAAAATCTTGTTTTTTTTGAGTCAGCAAAATTGACAGATTTCAACCATTTTTTCCCTTTTATAAAAAAAATGAAAATCTCACTTTGAAATTCTTTTAACTATCAGTTATCATTTTTTCAAAACTTATTTTAAGAAAATCAGAAATTATAATGTTTATATAAAATATTTTGAACCAAGCTTAACTTAGCTTCTGCGCCAAAAAGATGTAATTTGAAAATAAAACAAAGCAGGTCATAAACTTTCGTGTCACTTGACAGGTGATGAATGACATATTGATGGATTCTGTGAGAATAATTTGTTCTATGGAAGAAGAAAAGTGAAATTATTTACATTTAAGTGAACAAATTATTTACCTCAGTATTTTTAAAAAAAACTTTCAGCGCTCTAATTTTGTTTGCACTTAGCTTTCACCTTTACATTTACGGTGCTTTATAGAAAATATATTATAAAGAAATTAAAATAAGACTGTTAAGAGTGAGATTAAATTTAATATTCCATAAGAAAGGTATCTAATTAATTTATAGGTACCATTCTTATGAAATTTTATCAGAAGTGTACATAAAATACTATAATTTTATGTACATTTATTACATTTAACTGTGTTATATTGTATTAATTTTGATATTTCATTTATGGAAAAATGTCATAACTAAGATTAATATAAAAATAAGATCATACAAATTTCATTAGATGATACTGATACTTGTAGGTACCCTTCTCAGTTGAAATTGAAAAATCAAATTAACTTCTCCACACGTGTTTCGCAAAAGTAAAGGCCTTAACAGCAGAGAACAATGCTTAACTCAAATAAAGCAACTTAATTGTATTCTGGTTGGTCTTCTGTACTTTATAATTACAGCCCGATTATAAACACAAAATTACATTTCTTAATTACTGCGGATCTTCTGATTAGTCAAAATGATACAATTTACAACGCGCTAAAAAAAGATCTATCTTATAAGGACACTTAGGAAACCCAATGTGGCTTTTAACTAATTTTATAATATTTTAACAACTTAAATGTAAAAATCTATTATAATTAAAAAATAACAAATAATTGTATTAAAAATTCATTTTTCATTGAAAATTTTTTTGCTTTCAGAAAATATTGTCCATATTCATAAAAACAACTAAAAACAAATAAAAGCATTTGAAATTAAATAATATCTTTGTTTTATTGAGTTTTGTATGTTACAATTCAAAGCTGATTTTCAGGTAGGGGGTCCAATTAAAAACAAAAAAAAACATGATTTGCATTTCTCAAAGCCTTGCACTTTTAACTATTGTAATCACTAAACCTGACGTAATCAAATTTCTAGTGTTTTCATAAAATTAGTTATGGGATGAGGGGTAATAAATTTAAAAAAATATTTCTACCATGACTTTAATAAATAAAACATATTTATAATAATTTCCATCATCTGTGAATACTTTCTGAAAGTTTCATTAACATCCGACAATTATTTTTATTTTTGCAAGATTTTCCAAATTAATGTGTCATACAAAAAAAAAAACGTGCTAAAAATTGTATATGCTATTTTACTAGTTCCGGTGATACAAAGAGAAACAAGGTTTTTTTAATCAAAATTTAGAATGTTCTAAAAAGAATGAAAAATTTTAAAAAATAATTAAAATAAACTGTGATCTTTCCTCTTAATAATAACATAAGCATTTAGACGATAAAATTTAGTTTTTGTCAAGTTTGGCGTCTTTTTCCTCGTGTTATGCTCTTTTTTTTAGCGATCTCATGGAGGTACCTAAGTTTGGTTATACTGTTGAGTATTCTTTTTTTTTTTTACAATGATGTTCACCCTGCATAAGGCTCGAGAGTCACCCGAAATAGAGAGTTACAGGGTAAGAGGCACATATTATGCAGATATGTGGAGAAGATAATGGTTAACCCTAATGATCAGGAAAGCAACCTCTTAAGATTTGTTTCCATAAAGAAGGGTGGTTCACTACAATGTGCATGGCATGGTGAGTCTTAGCTGTGAATGTTAGAACTGGTGAAACTAAAGAATGTAGTTCGTCTGAACACTTTCTATAGAAATAGCAATAGAGCAGCAAGAGACTTGTGATGTTTAGTCTGTGAGAAAGGGGTTGTAGGGTGGAAAATAATTCCTCACCCACAAAGATGGGGAGACACTTTTGAACCAGCAATACATTTTATAGTAGAATTGCCAACAATACATTTTATAGCAAAATGACCAACAATACATTTTATCTGTAATTGAAGGCATGCAATTGCATTCAAAATATATTTAGTTGAAGTCATAAAATTGTGTTCAAAATATTTAGATTTCAGCATTAAATAACCCATAGAGGTTGATATGCCACTAAGCAAAATCAACCAAACCCACTGAGCTGATAAAGATAAGTCAGTGGAGAGATCAACTTCCAAGCTCTGGTCATCTAGAGTTTTGGAGGTGTACCCATATATTGTTCTATCATCAAACTTTATTTATGTTATAAAAGAAGGGTAATAGAGGATCTAGGAAGAAAGAAAAAAGTCCAGAACAAGAAGGAAGGAAGGAAGGAAGGAAGGAAGGAAGGAAGGAAGGAAGGAAAGAAGGAAGGAAGGAAATGAAGACAAGGTAATTAAGGAACATAAAGAAAAGAAGAAAATGTTCAAGAAATGGCTATAAAGGAAAAAAAAAAAACAATAAGGGAAAGTAAGTAAACAATAAAAAAACAGGGAAGAAAAAATGAAGCTAGGGTTCTGGAATTTGAAA